TCCAACTCAAAAAAAAAAAAAAATGGTATACACACAATATGGATGCCTGAAGAGGTCAAATTACAATGGAATGAAGGCTGCTGGGATCAGGTTGGGGTAGAGAACCAAAGAGGGAAGGAAATAAACTTTTCTTGAATATTTTCTAGGCATCATAATTTGTGATAAGCTTGCTAGGTTATGCAGTTGGGACAATCACAAGACCCTAGTGCACTGGCTGGCGCACTGAAAGATCGTGCTTATTTTCTCCGTAATTAGATGTAATTATTGTGAAATGTGGTGAGAAGCTTGTCCACAATCAAAATCAAACAAGAATTTCCAGAAGTATCCCTAGTACTGTAACTACAAATGTCAAATGGCTGGGGGAAAACATAACCAGTAATTATGAACAGAACTAGAGAGGGAAGCGTGGGCAGTTTGTAATAACTTCAAACGGCTTCCCAAGACGTTTGGGAGGTATTTTTGGGGAAATCCAGAGAAATGAATTAAACCAGACCGGGGCGAACGCAGTGTAGGCAAAAGAGGAGCAGAGCTCTGGGCCAGCTCAAAGCCCTTCGCAAGACTAGGGCGGCTCTGGGGTCAGCCTGGGCCTCAACCCCTGAAACGTCCCGCAGTTCCATCTCTTTCCTCTCTCTGCTCGGCGGCTCGCCGCGCCCTCCGCCTCCGGCCCCGCCCACTCTCCAAGGCTCTGGGCTCCGCCCACCCTCTGCGGCGCCGGCTCTGCCCACCCTCTCTGGGCCGCTGCCGGCGGCCGAGGGGCGGGGCGGGGCGGGGCGGGAGGAGCCGCGCTCCGGAGCGGGAGGGAGATCCGCCGCCGAGTTACGGGAAAGTTGGTCCGAGTGCTCGGAGTTTCCCTCTGTGGTTGCCCGGGGTCGGCCGGCCGGTGTCCCGGCTCTTTTCCGCCCTTCGGCCTTCGCCGTGCATCAGGTCCCCCCTTCCTGCCCCCGGCCGCCATGGAGCAGCCGCCGGCGCCCAAGAGGTAACGAACGCGGGGAGCGAGAGAAGCCGGAAAGCGGCACCGGCGGCCGCAGGGCGGGGGCGGCTAGGCCAGGCCCTGCCGCGACCCTTTCCCGCCTGCCGGGCCGGGGCTCGGCGCGCCGAGGGGCAGAAGGCGGGTCCGAGGGCCCGGCCGCGTCTGTCCACGAGGCCAGGGGACCGAGGGGGGTCCGAGCCTCTCCCCCCGACCCCCGCGGCCGGCGGGGCCTGGAGCGCGTGGAAAGTTGGATGGGCAGCGCCGGGCTCTCTGCGGCCTGACCTCCTGGGCTGGGAGGGTGTTCCCTCGTGGCAAGTTCTCCAAGTCCGGGAGACCTAAAACTAGAAAATTATCGGTCTTCTTACAACCACATAGACTTTCTTGTCAAATATCCTTCATAATATTGGCTCTTTTGTTTTTTTGGAGAAGATGGGTTGCTAACTTACAGTTTAAGGAATTAAATATGAATAGCTGCACCGTCTGTAAAACTTACTGTGGGTATGCTGCTCTGACAGGTGTTCCTCCCCCTCCCCCAAGTTCAAAAGTATTTATGGTTGCAAGACAGTAGGAATCTTAAATTAGAATCCCTCCCCAATATAGTTTTCGTGTAAAGATAGTGATGCTTTGGTATGGTATTTATTGTTAGTTTATATTTAATCTTTGATAAATGTGTTGGAAATATGTGCGTACAGAATGAGTGTGTTTGAACTAATATCAGCAGTGATCTTAAGCTAAATCAAGGTTGTCCATTGATATAAGTAAATAATGTGCCTTTTTGTCCCAAGAATGAATCGACGAATTGTTTAATATTGGATAAGACATTTAACCTCAGACTTTCATTTTTAATTTGTAAAATAAGGGTTCTAATCTCTCTCCCAGATAGTGCTGTTGTGGAGATTAAAGAGTTCATGTGCTTTGATACCTAGAGATCTTTAGATGAAGGATGTTGTATTCTAGAATATGGAGTAATTGAAAAGGTAGGGACTTTGGGAGCTATTGTGAATTGTGTGACTAGACATGTGAGCCTTGAGGCCTGGAAGCCATCTGTTCAGGTGAAAAAAGGGTGTTCGCCAGAGGGTTTCTGACCTGCTCCCAGTCAGAGCCCTTGAAGCAAGTCAATTGATAGACTCTTTTCTAGTATTTTGTAAGTTATCTGTATTCTACTCACTGGGCACCCAGTTTTAATACAATGAAAAAAATTGCCACTTTTTTTTCTTTTCTGGAAGAACTGGAAGGAGCACCTCTAAGATAACACTGTAGGCCATCTTGAACAACTCTATTTATTAGCCCTACTTAAGTTATCAGAGTTTCATTATAGATGTAAGAGAATCCCTGCCCTTGCAGAGACATTAGAAAACCTGGAAGAGTCAGGGGCAGGTATGGGTGATCGTTCATGTTTTTTTTATACTTTTCAAAGTGGTGGTTGCACATTTAACATGCTAAGCTTTTTTCAGACAGACTTATTTTGAAGTAATGAACCAAAATGCCAAGAAGGCATTTTTGGAGAGCAAAATATATGTGATATCAATCCTTTATATTTGAATATCTCTTAAAATTTTTTTCATAGTATTTCCATATTCATAATATTTAATCCTCGCAGCAACCTTATGGAGTAGGTTGAATTACAGACGTTAATCATATTTTATAGATGAAGACACTAAATTTGTCCCATGGAAGGCTATGACAGGAATTTCTGACAGTTTTTGGGTTGCCCTTATTGATCATTACGTTCTAATAAGATATAGCTACCATTTTTGAGGTCATACTGTTTGCCAGGAAATTTATATATATGTTATTTAATCACCCTAAGAAATAGTAATCCTGGCCCTGCCACTTACTATACTAGTTTTACATTTAAATTTCTTCATCTGTAAAATGAATTGTGGGGATTAAATGAGGTCATATGGAAAGCACTTAGGACAGTGCTCCGTAATATGTTCATTATAAAATAATGTTAGTTGTTGTTAACTTATGTTTTCCTTATTAAATGAGACTGAGAGAGATTGAATAACTTGGTCACGAAGGTGCCAGAACTTTGACTCTGTTTAGCTACAAAGACTGTGCACCCTCTTATTGCATGCAGTGATGTCTCTTTTTGAAGCTGTCTTTCTTAACCTTCCATAATGTAGTGGTCATCTTTTTCAACAATCTCCCTATTCCTATTAGAATGCTACTTCACTTTTCTGCTTGAGTAGCACTTCTTTGGTGCTCAGACACTTACATGGCCATATCTAGGTTGCTGATGTTTAAGTTTGACTAGCAGCTATTGCTCAGTTGGCATTTTTGATTCTTTCATTGTAGGTCTACTCTTTTAGTATCCCATCTACTTTGTCACTAGATCCTATCACATTTTCTACTTTCCCCATTTCATTCCTAAGAATTACCACTCTATTCCAGGGTTTATGACCTTCCCTTGAATTGCAGCAGTACCTTCTAGTACTTTAGTCCAGTGGTTTTCAAGTTTTAACAACAGAAGGACTTTTTTTTTTGGAGTAGAGTCAGGGTACCAGGACATGGTTTCCAGTCCCTACTTCCGTCCTTCAGAACCTCCTAATGCTCCAGAGAACACAGTTTGTTATAGTTCATCTTGCACATGATTTCTCATTCATTTTGCTAAAACATCACTTCAGTAAAGCTACTCTCCTATCTCTCTCTTTTTTTAAAGGGGCACACTTGTCTGCTTAGTATCCAAGGTTTCTATCACTTGGTTTCAGCCTTAACCCCCAGCCTTCAGTTACTATTCTTTAAGATGAATCTGTCCTTATGAAGTTTCCCTCTTGTTCTTTATTTAGATTGTAGACTGTGGGTACCCCCAACTTTGCCTTTGTTCTTCTTTCAAAAATTTGTTCACTTGTTTACCTTTCAAGAATTTTGCCTGAAGAATAATCTATGTTTTATTCCTTCAAGGTCTGCCTTATAAAGTATCTTTGAGTACTTTCTAGCTTAAGATATTTCTCTGTATTCTTTTTTTTTTCCCCTGAGTTGGAGTCTCACTCTGTTGCCCAGACTGGAGTGCAGTGGCACACTCCTGGCCACCACAGCCTCGACCTGCTGGGCTCGGGCGATCCTTCTGCCTCAGCCTTCCAAGTAGCTGGAACCACAGGCGCACGCTACCATGCCCGGCTAATTTTTTTTTTTTTTTAATTTATTGTAGAGGTGAGGTCTCGCCAAGTTCCCCAGGCTGGTCTCTAACCTGCGGGCTCAGGCAGCCCACTTGCCTCAGCCTCCCAAAGTGCTAGGATTACAGGCTAAGCCACGAAACCTGGCCTATTTCTCTGTTTTCTTAATATGATATCCATTTGCTTATATGCCATCTTTCTATGTATATTATATTGTGTTATATTAATTATTGCTGGAGAGAGATACTTTGCAGATAGGCTTTGTTCCTCAATTAGATTATAGGATTAGTAGTTATTTAAAGTTTATCATTGATTCAGGTATATTGGAGGAAAAGTTAGTGTCAAACAATGAAAACACTGGATGAATAAGAGAGTAAGCTACAAAAGCATACTTTGAAGACAGATGAGGAGAGTGCTTGAATTTAAGCTATAGCTGGATTCTCTGGCAAAAAAAATAATAGTGTGAAGGGGTAGTTTGGGAGAAGTAAAGTTGAAGACTGAAGTCAAATTATTAGGGTTACCAAATGCATTCACACAAATGAAAAGTAAGAAAACATTCATTTCAATAAGGACAAATGTTGCTATGAGTGAATGGATTACTAGTCACAAGATAGATTATTATGCAATGAAAAAGCAAAGGTAAAGGGATGAGGATATAGAAGGTTAAGTAGGAAGTATTTATGTATTCCTCAGCATGAAGAGCCCACTTCAGCCTGTCTCATCTGTAGCCCTGACCCCAGGCCAGGAATGAAGATAGCAGAGAACTCTGAGCTCTCAAGAATTGAATTGGTGGGAAGCAACAAACCAGTTAAGTAGATAGTAGGATGTGAGGAATATCATAAAGACATTGCGTTGAGAAGAGAGATGGACTTTACTTGATGTCTGTATCCTAAATTATGTGTCCTTAGAATGTTGGATGGTAAAATTCCTGAGTGTATGTTATCAGAGAGATTCACTAAGTGGAGAGCTGGAGTGGTCTTTGGGAAGTTGAACTCTTTAAAAAAAAAAAGCAGCCTCAGGGAGGAAGGCCCTAGGAGAATTTTCCAATTTTGGAGGCAAGCAAGTGGACAAAATGTTCAAAGTCATTAGTCCAAGGGCAAAAGAACAAAAGTATCTCTTTAAATTAACAACTTGGTCCCTGAAGCATATGTGGTTTTCTTTGGCTTTTCTTGGTTAGTTTAGGGTCGCAACAACTTCATTAGGATTGGTTTGGGCCCTGTTGGTGGGAACAGTCAGTTGGCTCTTCCATGTTGGAGAGAGTGAGTGTGACAAAATTTGCTGTAATTCCAATACATTAAGACAACAAAGAAGCCCAGTTTTTAGTTGACTGTAGGTTATGGTTAATTTATCATTGTTCTTTAAAGGCTGAGATAAAGAATACACTAGTCCTAAATAATTTGTTAAAAATGTAAAGATAAAAGTAAGTATATATGAAACACAAGCTAGATTGAAATGTGCTTTTCTAAAGTAATTAAGTGCTCATTTCAGAAATATATATCAGTAAAGCTTTCATATTAAAAGGTTTAAATTGAAAATTGATCTTGAATTGTAAGAAAAAAAAATAAATGCTTAGAATTTATGAAAATTTTCATTTTTATGGTTTTTAAGACGTCTGTGTTGAACTAGAAGTACTATTTCAGACCATTATATATTATTGGTTTGCAAAAAAATTTTTTATTATTGATACTGAGACCCAGTAGACCCATATGTATACATACATATATGTATAAACTGAAGCAAATTTTATTCAATGTACTGTGTGATATTTTCGGATTTTTTTCTATTTTCTGTTCTATTTCATTACAAAAAAATTGCTGGTCATGATCCACCAAGTTATTTTCATGACCTACTAATGGGTTGTAATCTGTAGTTTGAAAAAACATTGTT